ACCTAAAATGAAATGAAGCGGAGTGATCGATCTTCGCTCTCATTGAAACACTCACTGGTTAGCCATACTTCGTGATCCCTTTTTTCTGCAAATTTGACTGAGATTCGAATTCTTCGCTCTATTTGACGCTTCCTCTCACCGGCGATAGCCGACAGTAGCCAGGAGGAGATAGAAGAAAAGAGAAAAAGAATGCCCCTGCCTCTTCGACGAAGAAGAGAGTCCGTTCAGCGATGCTACTCTTGACTTAGGAGAATGTATGGAACGGCCGAAAGGCAAAAAGGAAAAAGGATTCAGTGGTAAGTCGCTCTATATATACTGCAACTATCTAAAGCTATAACCAGTGCAGAATACGCGCCTCGTTCGTTAGCTTCGAGAGGTCCTTCATCGTCTGACTTCAAAGATTAAGACTCATCGGACGAAATAAAATTAGAAAAATAAAAGGAACCAATTCTCAACTTTCCAAAAAAGAGTGATATTAATCTATTAGGAAATTCAGAATGAAGGGATTTACAAAGGTAGCTTCCGAAAGTTCAATGTGTTACTATTGGATCTTGGTGACTCTTTTACTATCGGGATGCATTAACGCGGAAATTGAAAGACGTACCTCCAGACAAATGGTTGAGGAATCTCCCGAGACCTTATCGTCCACCTTGAGCAAGGACTGTGGAAAATCTTATAGTACCACCTGTCTCAAACTAGACGTAGTATCCTTTCTGGATAGATTGTCAGAACAGGAGGACCTCGGTATCCTTCCTGGTGTGTCCGTTGTAAAGGAAAACGCTTCCATTGACGTATCTGCTTCGGAAGTCGTTGCTAATTTGGCTAGAGATTTCCCAAATGATGTAGAGAAGAGACTAGACGCCTATCTCGTTCATAAAGTCGGCAGTTATTTGAATAGTCACTCCATCTCGATCAAGCTTTTTGATCCAAAAACGTTCGAAGCTGCTAGGAACTTCAACGAGGACGCATTAACTCAATTGGGCTTGAATGGGAATCAAAATGTTGAGACAGGTGAATATCTTTTAATTTCTTCGAAAATATTCAACTTGATCTGGAACCAAAGTTGCTTAAGAGCAAAATGATATTCTTTTTGTTTTCAGGACGTAAGAAGGACAAGGGAAACAGTGGTTTGATGGCAGGTTTGATGATGATGAAAGGTACTCTTGGAGCTGTCGGTTTCGGCGCGTTAGCACTTCTCGCTGGTAAAGCTCTGATGACTGGTTTGATGGCACTCATGTTATCTGCTATCGTTGGCTTGAAATCTCTAGCTAGCGGTGGCGAGAAGAAGACCACTTATGAAATTGTTAGCAAGCCGATTTACTCAAGCTCGCATACTCATAGCTCAGAGGAACATCACGGACACGGTTACGGACATTCGGGATACGGAAGATCTCTCGATTCGGTCCACGAAACTATTCAAGAGGCTGTACGAAAATACGGAAATGCACGCGATCGTCGAGCTATAAGACAAAATTAATTTCGTTCCTTTTTAATCACCAAGTACCTGGATTCGCCATTGCACGAAATCATTCAGAAGTTTTCCTTCTTCTCTTTTGTCTTTCTTCTTTCTTCTTTATTCACATTAAATTTTACCTTTCTTCTTTTTTTCTTGTCATACTTAGTCGATGCATTTCTTTTTCCCGCTCGCTTTCTAAATATCTACGCATACATGCTAAGAATTTTGCCTTTTTCTCAAATCCGTCCTCTCGTTGTAGATCTGTCTTATTTCTTAACGTTAAGTCGCATCTCCGTTATTGTAGTTTTTCCTTAAATTATTTAGATATTTATTGTGAACAATGCTCCGCTTTTGGAGCGGCAAGCATATCAACTACTATTAATCACATACGTCTACTTGTTATATATTTATTTCAGCGTAATGTTCTAATAAAGTCTGTTTGTAATAAGATAAACGTTTCTGATTGTCTTACCTCTTATTTCCTCTTTTTCTCTTTCTCTCTTTCTTTTACTGAATGTCCTATTCATCTATGCATTATATCTTTTAACGAGTCATTGATTCATGCTTTCATTTATGTTGCATTATCTGTTCCTCGAAATAACAGTTAAGTTTTCTGCGATAATGACAAGTTTTAATCATTTTTAGCAGTCTTTTATGATTGAATGAAAGTATCAAATACAAAATACATAATACTTTATGGTATGGTACGATATACTATATAGTGGATGTCCCATTTGAAGTTTTACACTTTCTCGAATTATTTGTTATCCAACAGTATTTTAAGCAGAATTTACTTTATCTTGATGGGAATATCTTGTGGTAGTCATAAATTTTATCTAGATGTGCCTCCGAGATTTAAAGGTGATCTTTCTTATTTTTCTTAAATGGAATTAAATGTTTTCACTTAGATAGATATATAACCCATTTTGTGACGATTTCATTGATCTATAATATGTGGGTCATTCAAGGTCATTTATTGCCATTTAAAAATAACCTTCATTGAATATTCTCAAGATTTGATTTAGCGGAGTATTTTGTTGATTCGGTAGTAAACATAAATTGAAATCATATTAATGATGTGATTTACTGTTACTTCTGTTACAGTTGCTTCGAAGAAATCAGTATTATTGCAAGTTCTTTTCCTATCTACTTTTTTTTAATGAAGACATTTTTAGAAACAGTTTCTGAATAGTTCACTGTGACAAGTGAATTAACACAATGTTTATTATTGATTTGACCATAATTCGTACTTGGACCGTTTAGTTGAACATCAACGTCAGTGGTCATTAAATATTTGGTGTGTCATAGTAGATTGACATTTAGTGGGACCTTATTTTTTTAATAGTACATTACCTGGATCCGCTGCAATGATTTTTTAATCAAGGAACTACAAGTCCTTTTGGAAAACGTTCCATTTGCCATCAGAGTACAGTTGTAGTTTCATGATAGTGCTCACGCTTATTATGACCGTCGAGTTCGTACAACGCTGAACAACATATTTCTCAGTTATTGGATAGGAAGAGAAAATAGAACAAGGTATTTCCATCAAAGGCATTTCCAGATTTAACACCTGTAGACTTTTTCTTATAAGGCTTTATTAAAAAGTTTACCGAGAAAAATTCACTATCCTTAATAATATGAATAATTAGGAATACAACGATATTTGAGAAACTTAGAAATTTCTATCAACAAATTAGTTCTACAACTTTCAAGAAAGCGGTATTTTCAAGAAAGTATAACTCTATTATTTATGATAAAGTAAATTATTACGTTAATGTCCAAGATAGTCCTTTTGAATACACAAGATGAGGAATAATTTCTGGGCATTCAATGAAGATAAGTTTTGAATGATAATAAATAACTTTAAATGACCAATATATTATAGATAGATGAATTCATTACGGAACAGGCTACACTCTAAATAGTAAGTTAACTAGTAAATTAAAGATATAGTTTCATATAAAAAGCAAAGGTCACCTTGATATCTAGAAGACTCATCTAGACATGATTTGTGACTATGAAAATATGTCCCCTTTGAAACCAAGTAAATTCTGCTTGAAACATTTTCTTGAATAATTAAAAGTTTGGAAGACAATTGCGAATAAAAGTTAAAATGGTTAAAATGATATAAGTTAATTAAAAAAATATAATCGAAAAGAAAATAAAGAGAGCAAATATACTTTTAATTCTTAAATAATTTTTATTTTAATTTATATTTATCTTTATTTATATTTATCTCTATTTTTATTTTAGCAGCATAATTTTCTCGAATATGAATAAAATTCTTTCTCGATACTGGCGAAGAGCAATTTGATATACAAGCGTGAACAGGTGGTCATCATCTCTTAGGTGTTTCTTCTTTTCGTATCACGATCATATTCTATAAACGAAATAATACAAAGAAAATTAAAGTACACTATTCTACTATATAAAACTTTTTATCTATTGAAATGAATTCGAAAAAAGGTCTAAAAAAAGTGTATATTTAAAAATAGTTATTAATGTTTAAGTATTTATAATTTTATTAACACACAATATTTGAAATATACAAAAAAACTCGCTGTAATTCCTTTCTCAAAGATTATCGCGTTCATAAAATTAGGCCAGATGTTTTATCGAAGTATCAACGCATATTAGGTAAACGAGGCAAATTATATTTTCGAGATCCGTCGATCTTAAGGTCAGGAAACTTATCATTACGCTTTTCGTCGCGGAGAAGGTAATGACAATCGTGACAAACTGCTTAAAAAATCGACGGGTGACATAAATATCGTTGTATATAAAAGATCGACGTCTAGAAGATACTGAAATCAGTGAAGGGACGACAAGTGTTTAGAAAGAGCGTCATTGTCATCGCGTAATCGTGCTTATCGATCGATGTTAATATCGAGAGGGTGGAAAAAGTCCGAACGAATGTTCATTTTTTGCTTTCTTTTCGCGAACGTGATTCGCGTTAATGCGTTGAACGATGACAAAATTCAGCTTATCAAAAATTACGACATTGAATCTTACGAAAACATTCATTCAACAGAGAGATCAATTTTTAATTATCAAAAGGCAGGTATCCGAGTGGATGTAAAAATAGTCCCGGTTCTAGGAAATAATTATACCGAGAAAGTAAAAATTGTTGAAAATTTTCCGGAATTTCCTACGAAAGACTTCGGTCGATGTGTCCTCGATCTTTCACTAAGTTGCATCAAGAAACGTTTTGCTAAATTATTGGGGAGTATAGGATACTTAAATGAAATCACACTGATAGGACAAAATGTGAAATTAGTGAAGACGAGGAAACCTCGAGATGATCGGCGATCGATCGACGCCAATGATACAAGTAGCGATGATATTCGACGTAGTATCGATGATTTCTTCGACATGTTCGTGCTACGCATCACTTTGCCAACATGGAACGGAAAACGAGAAAAAAATCAGATTGATCTGATGTTCGACGAAGGTGGATCTCCGGTTGAAGGTTACTTCAAGATAATTAACCTAATCTCTTAAAGATTATTTGTTTGAATTAAAATATTATATGTTCGGGTTCATTTTAGGCCGTGGAATAAAAGGCGGTGGAGGAGGAGGAGGAGGAGGAGGAGGAGGAAAAGGTGGAGGAGGAGGCCTTAAAGGAGGTGGTGGAGGTGGAGGAAAGTGCAAGATGATGATGATGGCCATGCTTATGCTCGCCAAAATGAAGATTATAGGTAAAATACTTCTTTTTGAATTTGGCGGTAATGTGAATCATTGTTTCGATGTGTCACAGGTGTGATAGGAATGATGGCAATGAAAGGAATGATAATGGGAGCTATGTCACTGATGATATCCACAGTGATGTTGATGATGAAGTTTTTGAAAGGTGGAGGTGGTGGTCCGTGGAAAAGTGGCGGTAGTGATGGAGGAGGAGGAGGAGGAGGTGGAGGTGGAAATCATGGTGGAGGAGGTGGACATATATTACTTTTTCAATCTTAGTAATTTCTTAAACATCATAAATGAAATATATAATTTTGATTAATTATGATTTATAGGTTACAAGGAAGTGATTTTATTTACAAAGCTACCAAGTGGAGGTGGTGGAGGAAATGGAGGATATGGAGGGGGTGGTAGTAATTGTGGTGGCGGAGGTTGTGGTGGAGGAAATGGTGGTGGTTGTGGTGGAGGAGGTTGTAATGGTTATGGTGGAGGGAGTAAAGGAGGAGGTGGTGGAGGCGGTAATGGAGGTGGCGGAGGCGGAAATGGAGGTGGTGGTTATGGTGGAGGAGGTGGTGGTTATGGTGGAGGAGGTGATGGTTATGTAGTTCCACTATTGTCAAGTTACGGTGTACCTAGTGGTGGAGATACTGGTTACGGAGGTGGCTGGGGTCGCAGTTTTAGCTCTGCAATCATATTACCACATCTTGAATCGAGTCGTAATAGAAAATTGAAGAAGCAGTCTAATCCTTCTCTTATGATCGGAGAATCCATTGACCATGTAGAGAGTTTGGATTACGAAGATTATCAAGACTTGAACGTTAACTTTACTTCATCTCATCTTGACTCGAATCCTTTTAATTATTCGATGTTACCTAATTATTTAAATATTAATGAATCTATAAACGCTAATAATAAATTATTATTAAATTCTACTTCGGTGAATAGTAACAGTAAAGTTTAACATGCTAATTAATCTTATGGTCTCACGATCAATATATATTAATGAGTTGCAGGCTGCGAAAAAAACTTCTACATCGAATAAAAAGGTAAACAAAAACGGTCAATCCGAAGGAACAAGGATAAATTTAAACACGGTATATGATTCAACCACGAAACTTAAATTTTAATGAACGCATGGTGAATGTAGGACAAGAATGATATTTATAATATAATAAAAATAAATATAAAATATATTATTAGATTGTATTTTTATGTTTAGGTTTAATTATAAATTGAAATTTTCGATATTTTAATATTCAAAATATTATGGCAAGGTGAAAATGGTAAAGGTCTTTAAGTAAGAGCGCTTCCTAGTGGACGAAGTTTGAACTTGCTAGGCACTTTTCTGTTTAATTCATCGTCGGCTAATTTATAATCTTCGAAGTATCCAAAATATATATATTTAAGTATTCTTGAAATTATTTTATAGGAATTTGATTTTTAATAAAATGTCGAATAATTAATTATTTTTAATTTCTGTTATATCAATTTTAATTATTTAAATCCTTTTCCCATGATCCTTGGTATTGAGTCATGAGTTCATAAAGAATACCGATTGGGAGATTTCAATGTTGGATATGTTATCACCGAGTCGATCAAGTCATTAAAAGAAAATTAATGTAAATTCTAATGTATAATTATATTTAATTAATGGCAGAAAATGTCAACAACGCAAAATTATTAGAGAAAATTTAATAATATTATTTTATAATAATATCATATAAAATGTTCCTAGATAAAATTTCTTTCTTTTCTTCGAACATTCATTAAAATCTTTTAAATTTAATATTTTTTGTTTCGATAATTCGAATAAAAAGAAATATATATCATTCTATTATTTACTCTGCCAAATAGATCATTCACAATGTTGGATGACAAATATTCGTTTAAGATTCATAACATATAACGTTTTCGATGTCCAACGCGATCAGATTTGAAAAGAGTAACGGCACGCCGATTTTTCAAGCGAACAATGTAAAAGATCTAGGTCTAGCGAGTCTACTTACCGTGTGCGTGTATGGCCACGCATATTATTTTTCGTCTATGCTCTCTTTTTTCATCGCTACATATTGTTCGATCACCGTTAGACAACCTAATGATTCGATCGTGATTAAGAAAGGATCGAAGAACATGACGAGGTTCGATTTACGGGCGAAGCGGATCGTCCGGAAAATCAGAGAAAGTTTTCGTGTCTAGAACAAAAAGTAGGTTCTGATTGATGTTCAAGAAATAGGTAGATATCGCGTTTGCGAATCGGTTCACTTTCCTCTTTGTGGTAGAATGCATAAGAGGAAGTAAAAGGAAGTAAATTATCGTACATAATTGCTGAATAAAAATTTATGTGACTATTTGATGTAATAGATATAACATAGATATAATATAACTTTGACTCAAATAATAACAAGTCTTCGTAATAAATCTTTAGATCACATGAGAAAATTGACGTGCCTATTTTTTAGTCTAGATCTAGAATATACCTGTATATGGTATATCTAACATCTTCCTTTTATTCGATTGCTACAAGCGCAGTAAAAACAAATTAAAATGCACTATTCATAGTAAGATTAACCGGAGAGACAACTTGTCCCGACGATGTCGCTTCTTTTCTGATAAAAGAATAAATAATTTACTCATACGCACGCACACGCGTACATACAAACTCGTTCCCCGTTTCTATTAACAAAATGTTATACGATTAATTATTATCCAAACCTTCCTGTCTCTATCCTAACCATTTTATTTTTAATTCATATAAATTTCATACATTCATGTTCAACGATGTATAATTCATTACGAATATGATATATATGCGCATATTGTTTGATTATAATATAATTAAATATATCTTCAGTTTCAGATTTCCAATTATCAATTCTACGGGTTAATTTTATATTAAATAAAAAACGCTTGTATAATTAATTTAAAATTCAATAACAATAAGTCTAATTCCGTTTTAATGTTGATATAAGTTCTCATCTTGAAAATAGTTAATTTCTTTCTCAATTGTTCATAATGAATGTGAAAAAAATACTGATGCAGTTTAAAATTTTTAGTAAAAACAATTGCCTAAAATATTACTTTTTTATTTAATACCTATAATACGTCCCAGTTACTTCGTTCACTTAACGGGCGGTCAACCTGTTCCGATGTAACGTCTTAGTAGAAATATTTATATTAAAAAAATATGAACTACAGTCTTTCAACTTTTTCTTTCTCGAACATCGTTTATGAAAGTGTTCCAATTTATTTTCAAACGTGCACTTTGACATGTCACGATTATTCCTACTTATTTTCCATTCGTATCCTCGCTTGAAATATTGTGGATAATGAACCGTGAAATTACAACAAGATTATAAATCGATTTGCATAAAGAAATTTAAGATTTTCTTCGGTTGGTTAGCGAGACTAAAGACTAAAAAAGAGGAAATAGTTAACAATGTTTAAAAGAAATGTATTACCATACACTTTGTACAATTCTGAGAAATAGAAAAAACCTTTGTTATTCGTTCAAAAGCAGCACCTTTACTACGTCTTCTCGCAAATATGGTATTCAGGCTACGTTTGAGTGTAATGTACTTCTTATTCTTCCATGGGTATCGAGACTAAAAGAAACGAGAAGAAGAAGAAGGTTTTGTTTCCTCTATGGCTCTCCATTGACTCTCGTCAAACAGCAAACACATGTAAAGAAACCTACGAAGTAAGTTTTCACGAAGATGGAAAGTCGAGCCAATTGTTTTTCGGCTAATGTTCAGGCGAACAGAGGTGAGTGAGGAAGTAAGCAGAGGCCGATACTCGGAGGCTACCTACATACCTAGCAACCTAACCGATAGTAGGTTAATGGAATTCATCTGAGCAGAGTGTATACTCGACCGGTTGGCCCACCCAATCGTACGTTACATACTGTCATCACTGTGGTCGAATTTCTTGGTGAAAATTTCTTGGCATTGGCCAACGGCATTGATCCTTATTAGCGTTTACAAACTGATTAGGTGCTCTCACTTAGTAACCACGTGTTTATTTTCTAGAAGTATCGTTAAAGTACAATGTAAACAATATTAGAAAGTTTGAGTTTAACAAATTATCTAACGCTGATTGATACGAAGAAATGAATAAACATTGATCTCTTGAAATTGAATAAAAATAAAATCACTGAGACGTGTCTCGAATGCATGAAAAATGATAAAAAGAGATTTTATGAATTATAAGTATCGGAATATGAAAATGAAGTTATCATTATATAATGTTTGCAATCAAAATTGAAAGTGGTATTGACAGATAAAGATTCTAATTAACGTTTATAAATAAAGAATAGTTATAAAATTGACTTAGAAAATGTGAAGAGTTATATACTAATCTAAATTGATTACTAATCTAAATTGATTATCTGTAATTTCAAGAGGATCGAGACGTAGCAGATTGAAACATTTAGCATTCTACAGTTATCCATCCGATTAATGAGAACACCTTCACCGCGATTCTATTAATGGAAAGCTTCCGATATCCGGAAGTTATGTACTTGGAGATTGTGAGTACCTGTTTATAATACAAGTGTAAATACAATGCACTAGTGGATAATATCATTTGTATTGATTATTTATACGATAATTTTTAAGAAATTTTATAATTCCGAAAAGATGTCCATAATGTATTTAAAGTACAAGAAAGAATAATTAGAAATCAAGTAGAATGAGTCTTGTAAAATGAATTCTTTTGTTCGTCTTTCACTTAATAATCTTTCATATTATACTACCATAAATAATGGCATTAAGATTCTCGAACGAATACGGTTTTCTATGTTGATGAGTGATGTAGGAAAAGAATAAAAAATGATGAGCATACTTTACTCCATTGAAAGATAGTAACTGACCGGTCTATACCCTTATAAATGTGCAAAACTGTATCGTGCAACGGTCTAACGCAACACGCAGGTCCAGGAAATATGGAAGGAATGCTCGGAAGATTGTTCGAAATCTATTCACGTTGTAAGAGGTGATATCAACATATCATGGTAAGTACGATGAACCGTATACTGGGAAAAAATGGCATCATTGAAATTCATGAAGTTTACAAGAAGGAAGAAAGACAAACGAGAAGATTCTTTGAAAGACACGTACATGAAAATACAAGTAAACACGAGTCTGTCTGGGAGAGGAGAGACGATAATGACCTTCCACGGAGTTGCTAGCCGACGGAGTAGGAGGGCCTTTGACACACTTGACGCTCCAGGTGAATTGTAACCAAGAACGGAGAAGCTCGTGGTTAGTTTTGATCGGGAGATCGAACGGAACGCGTCTCTGAATCGAGATATTTGATAAAATAAAATACGTGAGAAGAAGAGAGAGGATGAGGGAGTAAGAAAGAGGTCTGCTCGAGTCAATCAAAAAAGGCAATAATAAATATGTGTCGAAAGTGATAAGTATGTCAACGAGCGTGCCAATTTTTGTCTGCGATGAAACGTGAAGATCTCCGTCAACAATGTGTGATACTAGGCTATCCTCGGTGGTGTAATTTTATTCGTAATTTTCAAATAAAATTAAACATAAATTCGAAGATTTACTCGAACACTGACGTATTTATTGCTAAATATTCAAGAAACTAGATAAAGAGGAATATTACAATACGAAAACCAAAGAGTTTCGTGATAGAGTGTATTCCTCATCGAAATCAAAAGTGTTGATTCTTCCATGTTGTATAAGATTCTGCGCTTCAATAGAATCCTTTCATTGATAATAGGTAATAATTTTAAGAATGCAGATTAGAAAATCAATTATGTTGAGAAAAGTCATCTGGTTCGTCACCTTTTTCGTATTAATCGATTCGTCGAGATCGGAATTGTTCAACTTCGAAAACTTCTATTCCCTCGTTAAGATATTTCATTTCGACGAATTGTTTTCTACAAATGTGACGGATAACGAACTTTGGTATGGTTTGTTAAAAGACTGTGACAAAAAACTGACGTTTTCGTGTATTCAAAAAAATGCTTATACTTATTTAAATGGTACCTTCAGTGATAGGAACAATATTACGGTATTCAATGGTTTAACGCTTACGAAAAATAATTTAGATTATGGCTCGTGTAGGATAGAAAATGATCAGAAGAACATCGATGAAAATCTTGTCGATGGGTCAATGAAAGAAGATTGCAATTTCAAGGATGATGACGATGAAAAACAAACCGATGAAAATGATATGAAAAGTGATAGAACAATGGATGAACCGCATAAATTTCCGTTGGAAGAAATAACAGATGCACTTCGACAAAAAGCAATGAAATTCTTGGCTACCAGAAATTACGAGATTCAACTACCGAAACTTTTCTTCGAAGGAACTATGATGAAGATTAGCCCACGTCAAATTGATGATAGCGGTGCACTTGTTAGATTAGATTTTATCCAAGGCGGTGTTAGTACTCATGGAAGATTGTTTAAGAAAATAAGTAAGACGATGGTGTTACATACAATACATATAACATAGATAATTGTTACATCGAAAGCGAACATAATATTGGCATATTTTGTTTCAGAAAAATTTATACAAAACAAACTGCTGTTGAGTTTTCTAGCTCTCATACTGCTCATCAAGCTAATCAAAGTGAAGTTCTTATTTGTGATACCCTTCTTATTTGGAGTAGGTGCTGCAAAGAAACTATTCTTAAAATTACTGCTCTTTTTTATTCCACCGTTCGCACACATCTTTAAGTTATGCTCGAGTTTCTATACGTCTTATGGAACGAAATATCATCACCATCATCATCAGGCAAGACAATCCCATATCATTATTTATTGCTTTATATAGTAAAAATAATCTGCAACCAATAAACTATTTATTTTCCTATTAGATTGCTCATCATCATCATCATGTTCCTGTTCCGGTACCGGTACCGACTTACTACGATCATCATCATCATCACCACGCAAATGACTTTAATGGTTATAATTACGCTCATCCACACATCCAATATCGCAAAGACGCGGAGGAATTGAAAGAGTGGGGTATCGAGCCATACGAAGATTTATACGAGGATGTAAATAGACATATTTCTGGTGTTCAACCAGATGCTGATGTATTACCAGTACCAGTCGTTGCTCCAGTTTCAGGATATCCTGCAGGAATGACTTATAATGGTCCTTATGGTCTTTCCCAATATGCACCAAACGCCAAATCTGTTGTTCCACCTTCCTATCACGACAAGTATTCTGCTTCGATTTCAGCTCACGCACACAATTTGGCCTACTCGGGATACCTTGATGATAAGTACAATCGACGTGTCGTTGAACCTAATGGCATAGCCACTACTGTTAAGGCTGTCAATGTTCTATCGGGTGGTTCAGTAAAGGCAGCAACAAAGAACAAGAACATAAGGAATCCTTATGGGATTCTAAATCAACAGAACGTTAGACAGGTCACGATACCAAGGATAACTAAAGCAGTTGCAACTCCGAATAATTCTATCGTCCGAACATCGACAGCTGCACAAATTTATGACGATGAATATTACGGACCAATAATGAGTCGTCTCGAAGAGATTTTTGTTCAGCTGAGATTTTTTGACGAATCTTGCCGAGAGAGACTCGTCTGTAGCATGTACAAAAATCCAATCATTTATTCACCTCACAGTAATCTAGTCTCGAACGAATTATCCAGGTATATATATTAACTTTATTCAAATGATTCAGTTATTATTATGAGGTTGTCATAAGGAGAAAGGCGGTAATCGCCCTCTCTCGAAATTGCGATAATCAGGTCATAGAAATTGGCAAAGAATTACATTCGCTGAGACATCACTTCTTAATATTTATATTTCTTTCTTTCTTTAACTTTATTTGTTTTTATCGTTTTCCTTACCTTGTGCCAAAAGAGATTGGAAATATATTATGAAATGACGTTTTCTTTTCTATGTTGTAGTTCAAATACGATCATAATTCATATGATAATTTTAAACATCTGCCAATGCTTACTTTCAGAGATCCGCAAGAACTCAAACGTGGCACATTGGAGAGTGCTTCCAGTCAGAAGTTTCATAAATATTTAAATGCAGCAAGAACAGGTCAAGATCGAGGCGACTGTGTATGGACGTACCCCTGTCACATAAATACCGAATAAATCCCGTTTAATTCTTACAGAAGATTTTTATGATGCATGAATGCATCTAGCAGTAATTAAATAATCCGTGCAAGAAATAATGCGTGCCTTGCTTCCGTGAAGTGACGTGCTAGTGAAATGCGTGTTCTTCAGTGTGACTATTCAATCTTTTAGCACTATTGCCATGATAATGTTAAATGCGATAATATTGATGTAAAAATAATATATTTTTTTAATATCTGTTGTTACCGACAGAGAATCTTTATAAATCGATAAACCTATTACATAAATAAATTCGATAAGTCTAAATAAATCTATTATATGGTAATGTCTCGAGGTATTAAAAATTTGTCAATGCTAATTGTTATTAATTTCATCTTTAAATGTATGAATTAAAATACTTAGCCTTGACAAGATATCGCATACACATTAAGTATTACCAAGATATATATGTGATTTTATAGTATATATATATATATATATATATATATATATATTTTTATATATATATAAAATTTATAGTAAATTATATTAATATTAGGTATTTATTCCTTTAATTATCTTTCTAAAGTTTTATTTATTCGATTTAAGTGATTATTAAATCAATTAGTACCTACGTATTTGAATGCCATACTCAATGTTTCTGTAGCTTCATTAGACTTCGTTTGAAGCTTCGTTCGTTTAATGTGTTGTATAATGTTAATTTATCCATCTTATAAAGATCTTAAACGAAAACCTATATACATTGCTATTTTATTTTGTACAATAAATCATTTAAAAATATTTGTCTTATTATATTTCATCCCAAAATAATTTAAAATACATAGAGAATCTGAAAAGTTTTATTTTCATTTCCATGTCTCTGATATATATATTCGATCTTCGAATACATGAAGTCGTAGAAAAAACAATTCGTTTTTAATGAAAAAGCAGAGCAATTCTGTCAATCTTAATAATTCTAAAAAACATAGATTGCTTCGGTACATACTTATTATACTTACGATAAAATAATGTATCATACAACACTGATAGTAAAATCATGCTGTTTCATAGCTTCTTTTATGCCAATTGATTGACCATAATTTTCGTGTGACTGTTTCTGATAAATTTAAACATAAATTATTAATTTGGACAAATTATTATAGTGGACGAATTATTATATTATATTGGACGATTAATGAGAAAGATACCTGAGTGTCCAACTAAATTAGATAAATGGTTAATGTAAAATCGTAACGTGAATAAACAATTACTGTTGATGAAAGAGATTAACACTTGCTTCATTGCATCTCTTTAGCACAGACAACAAAATGCACGAAACAACGAAATGCATCAAGCTGTGTTACCGAAATGTAATAAAAACGGGTTGTAGATGTCGAAATCAAAAAAATATTCCGGAGGGAAGTAACATTGAGCCGTGAAAACATCGGCACCCTAGATAATAAGGCTTTCTTCTTTCCTTTCAGTCAGCAACACGTTCCTAATCAAAATTCATTGTTCGTGCGAGTGCGTTCATCGGCTATAAAACCGGGTTGTCTTCGTTCGAAGTGGCATTCGGTGTTTAGTCTCGCGAATCGGTAGTATCAACCATGAGGATCGTGATCATACTTGCTTCTATAGCCCTACTTGCCGCTCTCGCAGGAGCACAAAATGTTGCCACTACGACTGAAGTTTTAAATAATATTTATTCCAGGTAAGTCAGTGAAAAAAGTCTATTCTTACTTTTAAGATTAGAGAAAGTTAGAAAAAATGTCTATCTATTTTTCTTATAAACTTAAAACCTTATAACTTTTATAACTTTATGTAAACTGTTATTTTTTAAGATACTTTAAGATATTTTATTATTTACAGGTGCGCTGATAGTGACTCTATGTTGTCTTGCGTGAAACCAAAGATCTTGTCTTATCTTAGTGATGCTGTCAAACAAGAAAGACTTGGAATCACGGAAGATTTGACGATAGTTAAGTCACGAGAAGTTCCTGCAGAAAATGCCGAGGAATATTATCCTACGAAATACGACATCGCTGATCCAGCCAGAAGAGAACTTCTTAGATCTTTGATGCTCGAAAAGGTGGATGCCTATTTATCCAGTCATACTCTTGAGGCTAAACTACCAGAAGCAATTATTGGATCGAACATCGTACCGAGATCTTTGGTTGACAGTGTACCAAAGTATCTTAGTGTTCCACTCAGTGATTCCTCCAATGGACAAGGTAAAAAATATTTTTTCAGTGGAACCAGCAACTTGAAACTAAAAATAATTATTAAAATAAAATTTTATGAATTTTCAGGGCGTAGTTTCGTAAAAAAAGTGATGATTCCTTTCCTCTTGGGTCTCAAGTTTAAGGCCACTGCATTGGTACCTCTTGCACTTGCTCTGATCGCAATGAAAACCTGGAAGGCCCTTACTCTCGGTCTTTTATCAATGGTTCTGAGCGGTGCAATGATGATATTCAAGCTAACCAAGCCTAAGGTTGCTTATGAAGTTGTTCACTATGGACATCCCCCCGTAGAACATCCACCTCACTGGGATACTTCAGCCCATGGACCATACAGAGCCTATAGGAAGTAGGAACTCACTTTCCTTACCTCGTTAAATCGTTTATTTAATATTTATTCGTGCTACTCAACTACATTTTATTTATGTTAAATAAAAAATTTTACATTTTCTCATCGAATCCTTTTAATCGAAATTTTTATTTCTACCTTGCCGTATCGTTATTTAGACCAGTAATCCCTTTTGTAACGTTTATGTATCTATATTCATAGGTATGTATATATATATATATATATATATATATACATATAAGTGAAATGTATATATATATATAAGTGAAATGAAAAAGCGAAATCACTTCATTCCGACTGCTAGCGAAAGTTTTCTTTCGGTCAGGAAAGTTCTTATCCCTTTAAACTTACATTTCTAAAATATCATATCGTTGATCTTTATATGAACAGAACAGCGTATGCAAAGTGAATAATTTTACTAATTAGGAACATTAATAATAAATGATAATTAAATAAAGGAGAATATAGAAAGTTACTTTACACCTATGACGGCATAAAGTTTCAAATAAAAATTTTTTATATTATAGAATCTATTTTCTGTGGAATGTATTTTTCGCTTTCTACTAACGCCAAGTGCATAAAACTATGTGTTGGATACAACGATAGCATTTTGACGAATTTCAGGGAAAACACATTGATTGGAATTCGTTCCAATATCTCAATTGAATGCATATGTAAACGATGACCCTAAATTCCAATTACCACTTCATTGTCATAACGTTAAAGAGGGAAAAGGAAGAAATAGAAATAAAAAACGAAGAAAGAGAGAAAGAGAGAAAGAGAGAAACAAAGGTCTTTCTTTCTCTACATTCTCTTACGAGAAACTCATGCGCGACTTGCATTTCCAATAGTTTGTCTTTCTATCTCTCTTTTTCTCTAGTTCTTCGCGTGACCGACGTGAAGAGATGTTTTAATTATGTCTCACAGGGGTGAAATTAACGCCTATGATGGATTGTTGAAGCAGCGGAGGGAAAGGAACGCTGTTAACGGAGCAGACGCGTGGAAAGTTGGTTCGTGGCAGGAATAAATGATCATTTTAATGTTGATATTACAGCGGTGTTCTTGTAGAAAGACACACGAGACTTTCCTACCCTTACATACGTAAGTTTAATTACATTTCCGTTCTCAATTGTTCTATTTAAAATGAACTGCTGTCATTTTGGTTATTTAATAACTAATATAATTAAATTATGTATATAGCGAATACGGGAACAATTAAGTAGAATAATTTATTGAAAATATAATAATTAGAATAATAATTGAAAATATAATAAGTAGAATAATTTATTGAAATTACCAATTATAATTATTGTGCTACTTAATATCCGATGTTAATAAGTAAAAATAGAGGAGATAAAGATAGAAATAAAAACACGTTTCTCCGTGACATTAATTAAAATACCATGCCAATACGAAATTCGAATATTATCACGTAAAGGAGAAAACTTTCGTTATAAATCCAGAGTTCGTTTATAAATCATGTATCGGAAGAGTTTAGAAACAAATCATAATTGGGCAGTCGCCCGTGGACTGTCGACAAGAAAATCGAATTCCAGGCCAAATTTCATTAACTAGGTATGATCGTTGATAGAAAGCAAATTGACAGATTTTAATAGGTGAGATTCCATGGCGTGTTTCGTGTACGAAAAATGGGCCTGACCTATTGGTCAGACGACTTTTTATCGACAAGTTCTTCGATCGTTCGTATATCGTTATATTATCGACAAAGTCCATAAAGAGGAGAATCCTCGGTAATTATTGATGCTAGTCACGATTGAAGTCGAGGCCTCGATAATCGAAGACCATACTGAACGAAAAGAAAATTCGTGGTCATGCTAGTGGATTGGTAGGGGGTTCGTGAGCGTACGTACGCACTATGCATCCTGGACTTGTCGATGTTACGATTCAACGATAGGCCTTCGTATAAATAGCGACATGCCCAACCCATTGGCATCAGTCGTGGTATCAACGTCTTCCTTGGACAGTTCGAGGACGAGAACGAACGCGAGCCATCTTATTATCTTCTTTCTTAGGATATATACGACATAGGAAGAGACAACGATCCCTTTCGTCATTATGAAGTTCTTCGTCCTCTGTTCGTTCATCACGTTGGCCGTGGCTCAGCCAGCGAAAAATGAACTCTGGAAAGGTACCAATCTGGACCAGATGGTTGATCAGACCAAGGCTGAATGTGCACACAAAAACGACGAAGTATCTTGTATGAAGTTCAAGGTTCTCAACCTTCTAGATCAGCTTTTCCGCAAGGATAACTTCAAGGTAAAGCAAAATTTCATCTTTTTTAATAATCCATCCATTAATTTATACCTTTAATTTTATTCTTTTTCTATTTCTTCCATGCAGGTATCCGAATCCGTGGAGATAACTCGGAACTCGTATCCAGTCGAAGAAATATCTGCTCGCGGCGAAGGATCCTTCCTCGACAACGTCCAATCTTATTTAACTACTCACGATGTAACCTTCAAACTACCCCTTGATTCAACCGTTAAAGTCAGCTCGCGAAACATCGAAGACGACAGGATTACTTTCGACGTCCAGTTCGGTCAGGGTCGTGCCGTAGAAGCTCGCAAATCGAAGCTGAAGAAAGTCGTCATCCCGATTCTCGTGTTCGTCTTATTGAAGGCTATGACTCTTATCCCTCTTGCCATCGGAGTTCTCGGACTCAAAGCGTGGAATGCTCTTCAGCTCTCGTTCTTCAGTTTCATCGTCTCTGTCGGTATGGCGATCTTCCAACTCTGCAAAAAGATCGCAGCAGAAGGTCATGCAGCACCAATTTCTGCGCATGGTCCTTGGGAATATCAGACGCAATACAGATCTTTCCAGGATCAAGAACAGGACAATACCTCGCAATTTGCCCAAAATCTCGCCTATTCAGGATACGCGCAATCGTAAAAAAAATTACAAGAAAAAAATCTGACGTCTCGACTTTTGTAAAATAGTTATTTTCCTATTTGTATGTTTTATTTAATAAATTATTATTATTATTGCAATTCACATTATGTTATTTCTAATATTTTGTTCTACCTTCTATGAATACCATATACAAACTTTATTAAATGAAATAAAAAGTATTATATAAAGTAGTAACTTATCCGTGTATCATTATTATTCTTTGGTTCGATTGGAGACAATTTTATAAATTACTCAACAAGTATTGAATTAAACTACCTTAATAAGTATATTACTCTAATGTTAATCAATCTAACAGATGTGACGGATCGTCTTTTTTGTGATATACACATTAAAAATGTTTTATAAAATATATTGCTTAAAATATGGGTTTTTTTAATGCTTGATTACTGCTTTAATTTGTTACAATATATAATAAATTAATAATTATGCATACGGATACAAATAATATTAATTAACAATACAATTAATATATTCTAATTGTTAAATCTCTCAATGTTTCTGTTATAAGATATATAGGACGTACTCGTGGATTGAGATTATTTTATTGACACGAATTTATAAAGTATGTAAATGATACTATCAAATAATTTCTATGTAGTGAACTATGTTTTAATAATGTTAATACCTACAAAAATATGACCTGTATAGATTCTAGAAACATTTCCAATATTTTTTGTATTCTTTTTACAAAATATAAAATGATACTAAATATGATATAAAAATATATGTTTGAGCTAGATTTACGCGAGAAAGTTGTCCACACATTATAAAGACACTTTCAAACATACTTCACTTTCTCTGTTGTGTCTACGAAAAATGACAATGGACAAGATAGTGTGTCATAAAAAAGAAAATTTACAATAAAATGAAAAATAGGTAAAACTGTGTTAACAAATAGAAAGTATTACTATAGTAAATGTATTAGACGGAATGACAATGTATAATCCATCAAACGAAAACAGGCAAAGTATGTTTGTATCATTGTCTCAAAAGAACTACTATTGAATGAAAAATTCAAGCCGATGAATGATCATTCATGCCACTTGACGTAATGAATTCTCAAATAAACCTTTCTTAGTCATTCAGCGAACTAGTGAAATTCGTAGTGCCTGTTCATATGTTAAAACCCAAGCAAAAAACGCGAGCGAATCGGTAAGGAAGCCATTCTAGTAGGATAGTACGCGAAAAGACTTTTTTTGAAGAATTTAGAAGAAATAGCTGAAAAAGAAACCGGACTTGCGTCGTAATCGTAGAAGCTTATGGTCAGCTGGTACAACGAGTTCAAGTAAGAACAGCAATGAAAGAAAAGACAAAGACAGAGAGAGAGAGAGAGAGACAGAGAGAGAGACAGAGAGAGAGAGAGAGAGAGAGAGAGAGAGAGAGAAAGAGAGAAAAGAGACGAGAGGCAAGTTCCGTTTCCCATGTATCGCCTAGTACGTATCGCATGCCATCGTGTACGACGTACGCGACGTTGCGCGCGAGAAACAACGAAGTAACAAACAACGACGACAAAGACGACAAAGACAATTGGACAAACGTAGGCGAGTTTGTGTACGTATAGGGACTGCTGGTCTATGCCAGTGAAATTTGAATAATTTTCCTTCGATTGTCGATTCTTGGCATGTGCGACCGAATAACATAGATTTGCGGGGGGCAAATTAAATAAAAGGGGCGGGCCACTCCTCCGTCAGTCGCAGTTCGATCGCCGATCGTTCGTACGCACAAGTCGACGATCGATCTTTATACACATCATTTTCCATTTCTTTTTTTCCTTCTCATCGTTAAGTGCAAACAACGTCGAAAGTGGTTTTTAGCGAGTGTGTGAACAAAACAGAGAGATAAAGAAAGAAGATCATGATAGCGATATTATCGATTTTGTTACTGGCAAGATCCGCGATAGCCAGTCAGGACTTCCTAACGAATTCTCTGAACCATTGCATCTCCGAAGATTCCTGGTCCAGCTGCCTCAAACATGAGGTCCTTGGATACCTTGATGAAAAGTTGGGTACCATTACCGAAGCCAGGTCTCTCGATACCGTCGATGAAGCCATCGTAGCGAGGACCTTCAAATATCTCAAGAGTTTTGATTATGGCATGGACTTACCCTTTATCGACGCCAGTTTGAAATACAGACCGAATAGGAGCTTGGCTGATCTTGATATTGAATTTAAAGATAACGATGTTGTTACCAATCAAGCTCGTGGATTATTTAAAAAGAAGTTGCTACTTCCCTTTTTGCTCCTGTTGAAGTTGAAGTTAAAAGCACTTATGCCGATCTTCGTGGCTATCATTGGATTGAAGGCTTTGAAAGCTTTAGTTCTCTCGAAACTCGCTATCTTACTGGTCGTTGGATTTCTTGCCGTACAATTTTTAAAGAAGGGTGGCATGATGATGCCTATGGGTACGTGAAGAAAAATTCTACAAATTTATGAAATTAATATCATTAAAAGATAAATTTTGTGAAGAATGTAATATAAATAATTTATATATTTTAATACTCTAGGTATGTCAATGGAACCGGCTACTCCCGCATACGGAGCTCCACCTATGCCCTCGACCACGTCGAGCTATGATCCGGCCAACACATGGGACGGAACCGGTCCGTATTCCCGCGTTTGGACGCCGAGTAATGGAGTGGAGTCTCAGAATTTAGCATATAGCTATTATTCACCCAGTAGTGGCTCGAGCTCGTATAGTTCGCTTGGTTCTTCTTCATCTTCTTCGTCTTCGTCGTCTTCATCTTCAGGCAGCTCATCGAACTACTAGACGAAGAAGGCTAAGTGATTCATTCGTCAATGCCAGTCTCGATCGTTCGTCTAGACCAAAGAAGCTAATAACACTGAATTGACACGCGAGTCGAAGCAAAGTTCAGCTTTCGATGAGCTCTCACATCCACTTTCTTCCCTCTCATTGACTAATATTTCTCGTACGTCCTCGAAGAATCTCATCGATCATCACATTGGACATTCTTCGATGTATTGGATCCGATCAGCAAAGTAGCCGATGGATGATGTTTCTGATATTTTATATCGAAATTCGATGGTTCATCGAGCGAATATAAGCGAGTACGAGATGTTACCATTTTATATTAGACGGTTAATTCCTTTTGTGCGATCCCACGATTTATATTTATTGTTCTTCGCGTGAAACATGATAATTTATTACTATTTTCACATTTGTTAATAAAGCAATTTCCTGTAAATATTGTGCTATTAATTTCTCTAGTTGTTAATATTCTGTTTCTATGAATGATACATTCTATGGAATAGAACGCCTGGATGAATGTTACCATATTTACAATCAGTAAAACGGGTTATCATCATTTCATGAATATTCAAAAATAAAGAAATCCACATTATTAATTAAACACAGTATATACTTTATATGCATGTAGTTCACGTTTATATGACAAAAATGATGACAAAAAATGATAAAATTTATAATTTCTTTTTAAATTTGAAACAAAACTTTTTTCCATTCAAATTTATAATTTAAAAATGAAATATTCTTTTTATTGTAATAAATTATCTTTACTATAGTAAAATATTGTAATAAAAAATATTCTATTATGATCGCATTAAATAATTATGCAAATTTGTTTATTGTTTTTAGCATCATGCAACATACTTGCAGATTATACTTATTATTTAGATATAATCCGTACATTATTGTTCGTCGGCAACGTAGGAAACGACACATGATCGATAAAAGACTAAAAAGTTTCGAAGATTAAATAAAATAACTTTTTTTTGTTATTCTTTAGTTTAATTTATGCTTTTTTTTTATACTTTTAAATAATATAATTGCTAGATATGTTTAATAATCGATGAAAGCTACATTGTTGACGGTCGGTGATGAAAATCAAGTTGTTATAGATGTCGTGTTCGGTATAAGAAAATGTCCGTGCAATTTTCTAAAACTTAAATTATTCATTTAGCAATAAAATAAAATAATTTGTTGTAAGTCGTATATTAGCAAACATTTTCTAGGAAAAGATGTATCGTTAATTGAATTAATTAATTGGATCATTAATTCTACAATATTTAGCGTTACGTTCCGATAGTTTCGATTAACACAAATAATGCAATTTAATGAAATATTACGTAATATTTCTATATATAACGTTCATTTGTAAAATGAACTCGGAATTTTCTCCATTTGTTATCTAATTCAATTAAAACAAATAGTTTATGTTTTGGTTTTCGAAAAAATAGCCCTTTCACCGTGATTCATTGTTATAATGTTTGAATCTTAAATTTTATTTCGTTCTTGGGACAATACTTTTTATTTCGATTTTCATTATTACAAATTAAAAAAAAAACACACACAATGATCACTAAATATAATGAAATTGATTTGCAAGGTAATCCAGGTAATTCGAAAGAGCTTCTAGAGATACGAAAGGGTTTCGTTGAAAGAATTGCTGTATGAATGGTACAAGCTCCAATGCCCCACAAGAAAATCGACATAATCCGCTTTGGAGCCCTCGTCCCTTTAACCGCTTGACCACAGGATCTTCTACTCTAAGGATATCGACCTTTCTGAGGTGGGAGATAGAAAGAATAAGTAAAAGAGATAGAGAACGAACTACCAATCCATCTCGAAGTTTTGTCATTGTGCAGCCACTTGACGTTTCTTACAAACCGTGAAAAGATTTGCGAATTATGTTGTTTGAAAGGAAGCAAAAAGTCATACGGACCTTTCGAAGAAAGGAAACTTTCATTATCCGTTCGAGAGAAGATATATTCGATTTGAGAAAATCTACATTGCTCTTTGTTAATGATTTAATCAGTGAAAAATTAATAGTAAATGATGTTGGAATGTTTATGACGTACATTATATAAACCAATTATATAAGATAACGTTGATAAAGCATATAGTTCGATAAACGATAATTAACGATACCTTATAATTTGTCAGTTACCGTAAACGTTCTACTTTTAGACCAAAATTTATAGTCGTGCCAGTCACGCACCTCG